TTTTATCGTATATTGTATTTTGGATAGAGCAGAGAAGGGCTAGAGCTGATGTTAGGCTTTCATTGATGTTTGTGTCCCTACTAGGTAGATTTTTCCCCTACTTCCTGCCAGGACTGCCAGAAGTGATGGGAAATCTTTCCAATAAGGGTACAAGCAAAAGCACATTTAATTAGAGAAGGGAAGGGTGAGAACATCTGACAGTATTTTTGTTGCTGTCTGTGTATCATGTTCCCGTAAAAGCTTCTTCCCCCATTTCTTGTCCTGAAGTCACAGGGTGAGGAAGTAAGGAAAAAAATCTCCCCAATGGGGTCAAAGACTGGAATACAAATATGAAAGAAATTTAAAAATGTTCCCCACTATACCCAAAACTAGGGTTTAAATTAACCTTTTTGCAGATGGGAGCATGGATAGTGGTAAAACCAGAGGTCTAATCATTAACCACTCTAAAATGTATTCCATGCTGTTCACTGTTCAAATATTCAAAGGGGGCATGCAATCCATCTTAGATCTTAAATTCTGCAAGTCTTCATTTGAGTGCAGAAAGTTTGCATGGAATCCACCAGGTTGGTCATCATAAGTAGGGGATGCCTGATGTGGACCTCGAGGCTCAACAACAAACTGGACAGATTTGACTCTAGCTACAGGGATACTCTAGAAAAAGCAGTGTATGATATGGTGGCTTTGTGGGATTGGTAACCTTGATCTATGCCTTTCCTCCCCTTCAACATCTTAATCTGCCTTGCAGGATTGAGATGTAGGGCATTCCAGTGATCTTCATTGCTTCATACTGGCCCAGGGAGATGTCATACACCAACCTTGTAAGAATCCTGGCAGATGCTCTGTGGGCTCTTCTAGATCATCATGATCTTTTGTTTTATATACCACTGTACCATTCTAACTTTAATGGCATAGCTGTTGAAGCCCAGGTTTTGAGAGGCAGGGGTATCTCTAAATCTGTGATTCCTACAATGCTAAATCCCAACAAGTTTACTTACTGCAATGTCTATCATTGAACATGGAAGGCATTGTTCAATCACGAGTCTTAGGGCCACCACCCTAGGAACCTCTCAGTTGGAAAAACCCTTCCCTTTCTGCAACTAGGACTGGGCCAGCATTTGGCACTATCAAGGGTAAGATTTATGCCCTTTCTGTTCTGTTTGAGAAACTGTTGGCCTCTTACTCCTTGATTTAGACCTTTGTACTGGGAGCCTTCCATGTAGCGGCCCCTATTTCTTTTCCCTGTGGCTGTGGGATCTTAATCTGGTTCTCTTTGCACTTCAGAAACCATCATTTGGCATTTCTCTGTCTACTCTCATGTAGATCCACCTACAGTTGCAAGAAAAAGTATGTGAACCCCTTGGGATTACGTGGAGCTTTGCATGAATTGGGCATAAAATGTGCTCTGAACGTCATCTAAGTCACAACAATGGAAGAACACAGTCTGCTGAACATAATACTACACAAACATTAGATGTTGCCATGGTTTAATTGCACATAACATGTAAACATTCACAGTGCAGGGAGGCAAAAGTATGTGAACCTTTGGACTTAATAACTGGTTGACCCTCCTTTGGCAGCAATAACCTCAACCAAACATTTCCTGTAGTTGCAGATCAGACCTGCACAACGATCTGGAGTAATTTTGGACCACTCCTCTTCACAAAACTGTTTCAGTGTAGCAATATTCTTGGGATGTCTGGTGTGAATCGCTCTCTTAAGGTCATGCCACAGCATTTCAATCGGGTTGAGGTCAGGACTCTGACTGGGCCACTCAGGTGTATTCTGTGCTGTTGCAGCCATTGTTTTGTTGAATTACTTGTATGCTTTGGGTCATTGTCCTGTTGCATCACCCATCCTCTGCGGAGCTTCAGTTGGCGGACAGATGGTCGTACGTTTTCCTGCAAAATGTCTTGATAAACTCTGGAATTCATTTTCCCATCAATGACAACAATCCGTCCAGGCCCTGAGGCAGCAAAGCAGCCCCAAACCATGATGCTCCCTCCGCCATGTTTTACAGTGGGGATGAGGTTTTGATGTTGGTGTGCTGTGCCTTTTTTTCTCCACACAGTGTTGTGTGTTCTTCCCAAACAACTCAGTCTTGGTTTCATCTGTCCACAGTATATTTTGCCAGTAGTGCTGTGGAACATCCAGGTGCTCTTTTGCAAACTTCAAACGTGCTGCAATATTCTTTTTGGACAGCAATGGCTTCCTCCGTGGTGTCCTCCCATGTACTCCATTCTTCTTTAACCACTTGCCTACCAGGCACTTATACCCCCTTATTTACCAGGCCAATTTTCAGCTTTCAGCGCTGCCGCACTTTGATTGACAATTGCACGGTCATGCAACATTGTACCCATATGAAATTTTGATAATTTTTTTCTCACAAATAGAGCTTTCTTTTGGTGGTATTTAATTGCCACTGGGTGCTTTACTTTTTGCGCTATAAATTAAAAAAGTGCAAAAAATTTGGAAAAAAAAAAAAAAAAAAAGTTTCTTTGTTTCTATTATAAAATTTTTCAAACAGGTAATTTTTCTCCTTCACTGATGTGCGTTGATGAGGCAGCACTGATGGGCACTGATAGGCTGCACTGATGGGCACTGATAGGCAGCACTAAAGGGCACTGATAGGCAGTACTAATGAGGTGGCACAGATAGGCGGCACTGATAGACAGCACTACTAATGAGGTGTCACGGATAGGCAGCACTAATATGCAGCACTGATAGGCGGCACTGATAGGTGACACTGATGATGGGTACTGATAGACGGCACTGACTGGCATCACTGCTGGGCACTGACTGGCAGCACTGACTGGCACAACCGCTGGGCACTGACTGGTGGCACTGACTGGCAGCACTGCTGGGCTGCACTGGTGGGTGGCACTGGTGGGCAGCACTGGTGGGTGGGCACAGGTGGGTGGCACTTCTGGGCACAGGTGTGTGACACTGCAGAGTGGCACAGGTGGGTGCACTGCTGGGCACAGGTGGGTGCACTGCTGGGCACAGGTGGGTGATCTGCTGGGCACAGGTGGGCGGAGCTAGTGGGCGCACTGCTGGGCACAGGTGGGCGGAACTTGCGGGTGGCACTGCTGGGCACCGATCATCAGGGCACTGATCATCAGTGCCCTGATGATCGGTGCCGATCCCCGCTCTGACAACTGCCGGTTCTCGGCAGTACTTTCCTCACGATCTGACAGCGTGAGGAAAGTGCAGCCGAGAACCGGCACTTGCATTTCCCTCTGATCAGCGTGTCATTGGACACCGCTGATCACATGGTAAAAGGCCGGTATGATTGGCCTTTTACCACATCACGTGATCAGCTGTGTCCGTAGGACACAGCGATCACGGAGATTGCCGGGTGCGCGCCCCCTGGGGCGCGCAGGAGAGCGCGTTTTGGGGGACGTCATATGACGTCCACCCAGAACTGGCCGGCCGCAGTGCAGCCGTCATTCGGCTATCTGCAGTCGGCAACTAGTTAATGTTTTCCTTATTGTAGATGTGTCAACAAAAATGTTAGCATGTGCCAGAGATTTCTGTAGGTCTTTAGCTGACACTCTGGGATTCTTCTTTACCTCATGCAGCATTCAGCGCTGTGCTCTTACAGTCATTTTTACAGGACGACCACGCCTAGGGAGAGTAGCAACAGTGCTAAACTTTCTCCATTTGTAGACAGTCTGTCTTACCGTGGACACATGAACATCAAGGCTTTTGGAGATACTTTTGTAACCCTTTCCAGCTTCATGCAAGTCAACAATTCTTGATCGTAGGTCTTCTGAGAGCTCTTTTCTGCGAGGCATGGTTCACATCAGACAGTGCTTCTTGAAACCAGTAAACCCAAAACAGGTGTGTGTTTTTTAAGGGCAGGACAGTTGTCAGCAACACATCCAATATCATCACACTGATTGGAGTCAAGGTTGGCTCACTCCTGGCTCCAATTAGCTCTGGGAGAAGTCATTAAGCTAGGGCCTCACATACTTTTTCCTCCCTGCACTGTGAATGTTTACATGTTATGTGCAATTAAACCATGGCAACATCTAATGTTTGTGTAATATTATGTTCAGCAGACTGTGTTCTATTGTTGTGACTTAGATGACGTTCAGAGCACATTTTATGCCCAATTCATGCAAAACTCCACGTAATCCCAAGGGGTTCACATACTTTTTCTTGCAACTGTAGATGACATAACTGCCACAAAGTAGACACCAATTTTACCATTTTGAACTGAGGAAGTGGCAATTTAAAGCCACAAAATGCATTTTATTTGGTGAAATAAAGTAACCCAAATGTTTCAATAAAGTAGAAGACTCGTGCCAATCAGTGCCTCTGCCGACCGGCTCTTTTACGCTGACTCCTGTTATCAATATGTTCACCTGCCAGAGAACCCCACAGAGCACCCAGAATGGGAACCCCTGAGGCATAGAGAGAGTGACCATACTGACTTTGCACAGAGACAGGTTTTCTCTACCCATGCATTTGGAAGGTCACCTGTTCCCCTCCTTGTTGGGTGATGGCACCCTCAACAGTTGTAAGTCCACTTTGACCTTTGTTCTTCTATTGTGGAAGCATTTATCCTGTTTCTAAATCAATCCTATACGCTATAAAGGCTCTCTCACCTCCCTCTCTTTTCTTTTTCAGTTTGAGTTTTACCAGAAAGCCCTGGTTAGCTCTTCAGGATCCTTCGGTCCGTGATTTACCACCACACCCTAGACCCTATATGGTTGTGGGAGGGGTTATAGTGGACTGGCCAACAATTTTTTTTTTGCCAGCATCCAGTTCTCCTGTGGGCTGCGGTTAGAGACTGTTAAAAACAGTTAGCACTTACTGCTATACACTTTGTTTTTGACAACCAACTAGATTTTGACTGCCATTCTTTTAAAGTAGCTTAACAAAAGAAAGGGATGGATTTGCAGCTGTCAGACAAATTGTTAATTTTCAGATCATCTGATATGTGGATAATTTTTTTGCCTTCTATAGTCATTTTACAGCATCTTTTTTTCATTCAGGATCCTGCGCTCCCACCCCCGGGTGCTGCTCGCTGTGGCTCACTCTGTTGCTCGGCGTGTGTCTCCTTTTGTGAGACAAGTGGATTTCGCCATTGACTGGATTGGAGTAGAGGCTGGTAAAGAGCTGTACAGGTAAAGCTAGAGATGTATATTTATGCACTAATGCAGAATTAAAGACACATGAATGCAGGCTGATGGGACAGAGGGGAACTTCACCTAAGCAAATCACTTAACACAATTATTTGTTGACTTTCATATACAGAGATCCTGTATTCTAGGCTCTTAATATTTTAGAAGACATTCAGCCATATCGCTGTTACAAAAAGGTTTCCTTATTTGTTCCTTTGCTCTTTCTTACTGGAAACTGCGATTTTTATCAATTTTATGTAATCTAGAGCCAGTTAAAGGTTTTTCCTGTCTCTTGTCAGGTAGCTATAATAAAGCTACCTTAGCCATACAAAATTGGAAAGAGGGCCAAGAAAGACCCAGAGCTTTTAAGACAGGCTGTAGTTTGCATTTGACCAATGAGCACTTAGCAATCTCCCACAAAAAATATCAACCTACATGTGGGCAAGGAGAAGGCTAATCTGTCTTGCTCAGTCTGTTAGCCTTGTGATTCCCACCAGAAAAAAAATGGCTAAAGGTGATGATGGGATAGTTATGAATTTCAGTTAAACTTTTTTGTTTCCTTTCTAGGTTCAATTTTGTTTGTTTGCTTATGTTTTTTTCTGTTCCCTTTCTCTTCTTTCCATCCAATCTGTCTTATTCTTTCCTACTACTGTCTCTCTCTATCTCTGTTTTTCAATCTTTTCTCTTTCTTACTCTCTTTTCCTCTCATATCAGTCTCTTCCCCATTTCTCCCTATCTTTTCTGTCTTCGTAACTCTCACATTCTCCTCCTCCTCCTTTGTTCTTTTTAAAGTTTTTAGTATTTCTCCTATGTTCATGCATGTTGACCATGTTTTTTTTAATCTATAGAAAAGGGGACACCTCTGACTGTACTTACATTGCCTTAAATGGACGTCTCCGTTCAGTGATTCAGTATCCTGATGGGAAGAAATGTGTTGTAGGAGAGCATGGTAGAGGCGAGCTAATTGGAATGGTGAGAAGTGGGAAATTCCATGTATTGTGGTTATTTTGTATAATAAGGTTCCCACAGGTGAGACTATTCAGTTATATATGACTTAGAGAATCAACATCTCTATATTCACATTGTGGTACTAGATTTTATCAGCTGGTAACACTGTAGGTGACTGCAGCTCACAGTCCCGATAATGCAGTAAGTTTGTGGAAGAGGGACCACAAGGCAAACTCAAGCAAATGAGGGAATTTTATTTTAAAAATCCCTAGGGAATAAAGTCCACATATTGTGTCCTGGAGTGCTACTGGTTGATTAATCCTTTACCAGGTGACTCATCTGCCATAGAGATGCACTGTGTCTCTATGTTCACATTGAAATGCCAGATTTCACCAGCAGAAAGCACTGTGGTTGACTATATCTTACAGTCCTTAGCTTTCCAGTAAATGAGAGAATTAAATAACAATTTAACTCAACTATGCTTTGATAAAGTGCTGGGTAATGCTGTTTCAATGTTGAGAGACGCAAGACTTGCATTGTTGATAGTCAGTATTTTCTTATAAGTGATACTACTTACAACAGGTGGAAGCTTTAACGCACAGGCCAAGAGTGACGTCTGTGAATGCAGTGCGAGACTCTGAGCTGGCAAAGGTCCCTGATGGAGCGTTGTCCTACATTAAGAGAAGATACCCTCAGGTACATTTCAAGAAACAGCTGAAAGCAAGTCACAGTATTTAATAAAAATTTACAAATCCAGTAGCACAGGCCAAGAGCTCATATGGCACTAAGCCAAATTTTTCCCTTCTGCTGATAAGTACTTCTCCAGTTTTCACAGAAAATTTTGGAACTGTTTATATGGTAAAAAGGGGAAATGTTGGTTTCAGTTATCAAACTGGCCATTACTTTGAAATTAGGAGCAAAATAATTACATACAACCCACAAACACTATTACTGCTTTCACTGTCACTTGAAGAGCAGCTAATTTACTTTCCAGTACTAAACATTCTCATGCAGAGCAGTGGAAGAGCTCACTGTATTGCATTTTTTTTGTGTTGGCTCTATTCTGCAGTATAATGCATGCGTGAGCGGAGGAGGAGCCACCAGGAGGATTTTTGTTGTAGAGGTCTTGAAAGTGCCCCACACAAAGTGAAATGGAGTTGGCTGCTTGGCTGTTCCCAGGCTGTAGTCATTGGGTTTGCCCCATTGGTGACAAATATTGAATGGTCTTAGGCTAAAATTGAACTTAAACAAAAATGGGAAATGAGGTAAGACATAGTCAAGGAACAAGGTAGAGGGTCAGGGCAGGTGGAAGACAAGAGACTGTTATCAGGATCCAATTCAGACTGAACACCCAAGAGCACCCTGGGTTTGACTTGGATTGAATTGATGATAAGCCAAGCCATGGAGAAGCAGATCAGGATAATTACAGCATCATCTCAAGACAGAGACAATACATTTCCTCTGGAAGATGTTAGTGCACTATGTTAGATTCATATCTAGAGCCAGATGATTTTCTTCAGTATGCACAATCTGTAGTTCTGGCTATGTTCAAGCAGATGGTGCAGACTTATTTCTAGAACTTGCATCCCTGCCTGCATCAAGCAGAAGACAAAAGGAAGAGGTAAGGTAGAGAGGTGAACAGTTGCCAACTACTTGTTAAAAGGAATAGATAGATCTAGGAAGGTCCTATCAATTTAGCAATCAAGGGGGTGCCTTGGAAGTCTTTATGACTTTCATTATATTTATTGAAGCTGTCTTCATTGCCTGTCTCCCTTTCCCATTGTCAATATCTCAAATATAACTATACAAAATAGGTTGCAGCTTGGTTAGCTCTGAATGTTTTAAATGAGATTCTTCTGGAAGGGGCCAAAGAAAGAAATGGGAGTCATCAGCCATAGTCAGCTTTAGAACCTATTGATTTTTAAAATAAAAAAATTGCTAATCAGATTTACAACTAAACAGACATCCAACTATGACACGGCAACAGACATTCTATATACATTATAAATAGTATTGACTTTCCTTATGTGGATGTTAACTAGCTATTTTATATTAATATTTTCTGTGGAACTTTAACAAGTGTAACTTGTCTGCAGGTGGTAACCAGATTAATTCACATTTTAAGCCATAAAATCCTTGGAGACCTTCAAGAGACACAGGGAAATGTGGCAGGTAAGAAGGTTTTCAAGGCTCAACTGATAATATTGGCTTCTCTTTTGTTTACAGACATGTATGCATGTCCAGGTCCAATGCATGTTGGTGCAATTGTTAATATTGTTGGTACTTAGAAATGGAGGTGTGCCACTTACATACCATGAAATGGAATGATACTTAGAAATCGAGGTGTGCCACTTACATACCATGACAAAGAGACATTTTTAAAATTGGAGAATATTTATTAAATGGTAAAAATGCATTACATGTATCTATCATCTAAATAATGATTTGAATAAATGTTGTACAGTCTTGCCAAATTTGGTAAAATCAATTGATTACCAGCTAACGTCTACGAGTCATTGAGGTTTTGCCTCAATAATTATTAAATGAAATTTCTCATGAGCACAAATAATTCTGGTCTCAATGACTTTCCTTGAAGACAATCTGGCTGAGTAGTCATTTCCCTCAGCTTCAGTATGAATAAATTAAGTCACTAACCTTAAATAAATGAATTTAAGTGAATATGAGCTGCATATGTGTTCTGGTTCTGTGGCTCTACTTATACTAAAGTGGAAGAACTTATTTCTTTGAATGGGATGTATAAGATTGGATGGAAGTTAAAGGTATTTCTCTTTATAATATTTTCTTTTTAAGGATCTCTATAGATTTTGTGTTTTGATTCTGTCCCACTAAGGTTGAGATTGGTTTGGGTTCTGACCCACAAAAGAATCCCTGGGAACTTGTGGACTGGTCTGACAAGGGTGGCTTGAGACCATGAGCGAGAATGGTGCTCACTCAAGTTGTCCTGTTGCACAGTTAGGTAACTGAACAAATGATGGCAAACGCATACTTAGTCCTGGTTCTCCACTATGCGTTTTTAGGTTCTTTTTGCATTTTGGAGAAGCTCACCACAGCCCATTTAACATGGTTCCCTATGAGATACATTCACATCTATGTGTTTTCAGCTGCTGCATTTTTGGATAGGGTCAGATATGTTTTTTCCCACAGCAGACTGCAACGCAAAGGTGTGAACTAGTTCCTAGATGTTACCTTTCTTGATGATTTACCTTATTATTGAAAATTTTGTCTAAAAGGTAACATTGGCTTTACCACCATCAATATCCAGACCCTTCCTTTTAGTGCTTTAAACCACTTGCCTACCAGGCACCTATACCCCCTTCCTTACCAGGCCAATTTTCAGCTTTCAGCGCTGCCGCACTTTGACAATTGCGCGGTCATGCAACATTGTACCCATATGAAATTTTGATCATTTTTTTCTCACAAATAGAGCTTTCTTTTGGTGGTATTTAATCGCCACTGGGCACTTTACTTTTTGCGCTATAAATTAAAAAAGTGCAAAAAATTTGAAAAAAAAAAAAGTTTCTTTGTTTCTATTATAAACTTTTTCAAACAGGTATTTTTTCTCCTTCACTGATGTGCGTTGATGAGGCAGCACTGATGGGCACTGATAGGCGGCACTGATGGGCACTGATAGGCAGCACTAAAGGGCACTGATAGGCAGTACTAATGAGGTGGCACGGATAGGCGGCACTGATAGGCAGCACTACAGAGGTGTCACGGATAGGCGGCACTAATATGCATCACTGATAGGCGGCACTGATAGGTGACACTGATGATGGGTACTGATAGATGGCACTGACTGGCATCACTGCTGGGCACTGACTGGCAGCACTGACTGGCACAACCGCTGGGCACTGACTGGTGGCACTGACTGGCAGCACTGCTGGGCTGCACTGGTGGGTGGCACTGGTGGGCAGCACTGGTGGGTGGGCACAGGTGGGTGGCACTGGTGGGCACAGGTGGGTGGCACTGGTGGGCACAGGTGGGTGGCACTGGTGGGCACAGGTGGGTGGGCACAGGTGGGTGGCACTTCTGGGCACATGTAGGTGGCACTTCTGGGCACAGGTGTGTGACACTACAGAGTGGCACAGGTGGGTGCACTGCTGGGCACAGGTGGGCGGAGCTAGTGGGCGCACTGCTGGGCACAGGTGGGCGGAACTTGTGGGTGGCACTGCTGGGCACCGATCATCAGGGCACTGATCATCAGTGGCGATCCTCGCTCTGACAACTGCCAGTTCTCGGCAGTACTTTCCTCACGATCTGACAGCGTGAGGAAAGTGCAGCCGAGAACCGGCACTTGCATTTCCCTGTGATCAGCGTGTCATTGGACACCGCTGATCACGTGGTAAAAGGCCGGTATGATCGGCCTTTTACCACATCTCGTGATCAGCTGTGTTCGTAGGACACAGCGATCGCGGAGATCGCCGGGTGCGCGCCCCCTGGGGCGCGCAGGAGAGCACGTTCTGGGGGGACGTCATATGACGTCCACCCAGAACTGGCCGGCCGCAGTGCAGCCGTCATTCGGCTATCTGCGGTCGGCAACTAGTTAAAGTAAGTTTTAAAGTTACTTAAAAGTGTTTGATAATCTTGGTGTGTGGGGGGGCCCCCTCAATGGAAGATGTCTTCATTAAAAAAAAAAAGGTCAGCTTTTGTGGTCACTGTTGTATTTCCTATATGCCACATTTTATTGTAACCATTTACACCTCTAGGTGCTATTTTTCTTGGTTAAGGAAGGGTCAGTACTACCCTCTTTTTAAGTTGACGTGATGGTACTTGGTATTGAGTCTAATACATACAATTAAGATTCAAGGTTCCAAGTTGGACCATTCTTGAAGAGATGATTCAAGATTGGAGAATGTTAATTTTTATGATATTGGTTGTCAGTATTATTGCTATGACAACAAAGCACAGTCCACTTTCTACGTATATCTTTTGATGGAACATGGTTCTTCAGGAGGCATTGTTTGATGTTAGCATGTTCACTCAGGCTTTTGAAGAACTGGACCTAAAATAATGTATGTTATGGTTATCACTATTTCTATGTCAGAACGTGTTTTTTTAAGAGTATAAAATACAGAAGGTGTCTTAGTAGGGCTGCATACATTCCTGAAAAAAGGAAACATGGTTGATTTTATTGGGTTGTCAAGTCATAATTTTCATACAACAGAAACTTGCATTAAAGTGGTATTTTGGGTAAATAAACACATTTATGTTATTGGTTTTACCTGTCAGAGGATGATGAGAACATTTCTGCCATACTCCCTTACCAGGCAGGTGACACACTTATTTACTAGTTAACAATGTAGTTTTCACCTCCTTACTGAGTGAATCATCATCATCATCCATTATCCATTCATTACAAGAATAGCTGGGAAAAATAATAAATCTTTTAAGAGGAAAACTGTAAACATATGTTGTTCAGCTGTGTATTTAGCTGGTATCTCACTTCAAATGGCATCCTGTAATCAATTCCAGAGTCTATCGTTGAGATTTCAGACTGGCAAAAAGAATAGGGAAACACAATCTTTGATTGATCCACAAGATTAGTGACATCTAGCCAACCTACATAATAGAAACGTTGAAGGGAAGTATCTATTATAGAATGTTTCAGACAATTTCATCTTGATTCTACTCTTTCTATATTTCCATTAGATTCTGGAAATGTGGCCAGTAATCTGAGTACAGTCTGTGTGTTACCGTGCAATAATAATGTTCCTCTCTCTGCCTTTACCATGGAGCTTAAAAATGCTCTGGACACAATAGGTAAGATACCTGTCAAGAAAGTGGATCGTAGAACTAATTTCCTCTATGGCGTTGGAAAAGTTAATATCCTGACAATCTGCCTCTTTCAGGCCCAACTCTGGTTCTTACAAGTGACATCATCAGGGCGCGGCTTGGAGCCTATGCCTTGGAAAGGTTTGTAAGGCCCATGTATGCACAGAGGCCTGTGCAGGCTAAAGAGTGTGATGAAAAGCTTGGCTTCCTGGTGACACAAATTGGTATTGGTGTGAACTCTGTCACATATAGTTCTGCTGACAAGAAAATTCTAAAAACTGAAAAGAAATGCAAATAATTGCTGCTACTCAGTAAGACTGACATTCCAATGATGTGTCAATTTGCATTTTATGCTATAGTTGCTGTGTTGATTGGGTAGAGCCAAGTCGAGAGGGATCGTTTAAACCATTTAAACTGAAATTGCACATTTCTCACGCAAGGCAATACATATTTACCTTCCATTTACACCCCTGTTGGGACCAAGGAAAGACAGCACTGTGTAGGCTCTATTTCGATCTCCACTCAGAGCTATCTCAAGGTTGACTATCCCCGCATTGACAGTGCTTGGCCATTCACCAAGTTCCCCCAATATTATATGGATTTAGTTACATGCCCCTGCATACCCTTAAGTATTGAAGAGTTGATTAGAGTATATGCTGCTGGGGAGGGCAGCATTAAAAAACAATCTGTTGCATTCCATGGCATGGCCAAAGTACATGTTGGCTTAAAGGAACACATCATGGACAATCCCAAACACACAGTTAAATTAAAGTTCCCTGAATCCCTAATGGTACAAAAATATTGAATCATCACAGCTACAGCTCCTGCATACCTATGTAACAGATTTAAAACTGAACTCCGGGCACAAAACTTTCATTGAAATACATTCCTCAGTAGTCACAAAGGATATAAATCCACTTTGTTTGCAACAAATACCTTGAAAAAAATTAGATTTAACCTTGTTAAAGTAGCAGTGACATCATCACTGTACTTTACATAGTCTGTGCAGAGAGAAGAGGTGTGGGAAGGATGCAATGGGTCCTCCCACAACAGACTGCCTGCAGAAAAGTAGAAGAGGGGGCGGAGACAAGACTGGTCACCCTGCACAAAGAGAGAGTGCAGCAGTGACTGGTCCTTATTACAGGAGCTCCTGCACAGAGGCAATGTGTCACACTGGATTACTGCACAGATCTGGAAGGAATACACAAAGCACACCAAAATTCAAGTAAGGATACACATGGCTCTTGTATTTAGACAATGTTTGTTTATCTCCAGAGTTCAGCTTTAATGTCTGCTCATCTTCAAGATGGCCATTTGTTTGGTGAAGGCAGGACCCCAAGGTAACCACACCCTACACTTATTTCCATTCTTTGGCAGTACTCACGAGTGTCAGCTGTCTACTTGGCTGGCCCAACAGGAAGATCTTCACCGTATTGTCCTTTATCAGACTGAGTTCTCGCTCACACCATGGACTGTACGCTGCATCCGCCAGGCAGATTGCGTTTTGGTGGTTGGGCTGGGAGAAGAGGCACCAGCAATTGGAGAGGTAAGAAAAAGACATGTTATGGAGCTGTAGAAGATCATATTAAGCTTTTACACTTAGACTGGCTTTAGATGGCTCAATAGAATAAGCAATGGGGGCTATTTACTAAAACTGGAGAGTGCAAAATCTGGTGCAACTCTGCATAGAAAGCAATCATTTTCCAGAGTTTATTTTTAAAGCTTAATTGAACAAGCTGAAGTTAGAAGCTGATTGGTTACCATGCACAGCTGCACCAGATTCTGAGTGCTCCAGTTTTAGTAAATCTACCCCATTGCTTCTGTTTTTGAGTATTGCTTGCCGCCAGTGTTGGACTGTTTCAGCTACACAGGAGATTAAGAACCCCCCAGGTTCTCATTATTACACAGGGAGGTTTTCCAATCAGTTACACGATCTCCCTGCCATCATTTCCCAATTCTTATCTCTTCTATTAACCTGTCTGTTCATGGGGAAATATCTGCCCATCTTTGGTCAACCTAATAACTCTTGCTTTATCCTCCTCCTGGTCTTCATTTATCAGCAGATGTCCACAGCTTCAGTCTCAGCTAGAAGGTATCTGTGGCTTCTGATCGAATCATGAATTAAAATCCAGATCTAAAATTTGTTTGTGGACAGATATAAATGACATTTTGCAGTGAAGGCCAAAACCGGTTAAATCCAGCAAAATACTACAAAAGTACATGTATGCTTTACATATTAAATCTTAATTTAAATCCACATTACACATAATTTAACATTTCTGTAAAAATGTTAAATTTCTCTTCCTTGCACTAGTGGCAACAGCATTTCATGTACTTGTGATTTCCCACAATCCTCATCTCCCTGGTCCTGTAATTGGCATACTGTGTGCACAAAGCTTGAGGCTAAATTACAGACAATTGCACTCACACTCTCACATTTTCCTTATGATTGTTGCACTGGGAGTTTAATCTTTACCCATATCAGCAGAATGACTGGGGTCCTATTTATGACAACACTGGAAATGATCATGTGACTATAATGTAGTCAGATTAGATAGAAGATTTAAAGTGATTTTAAAAGATTAAAAAAAAAATAAGAAACATCTCTATACTTACCTGCTTTGTGCTATGGAATTGCACAGAGGCCCCCCCCGAACCTCCTCTTCTCAGGTCCCCTGCCGGCACTCCTGGCTCCTCCTCTCTATCCAGTGCCCCCATGGGAAGCTGCTTCCCATGGGGGCACTCGTGCGTGCTTGCTCCTGAGCCCCGCTGATGTGTCCATTGACAGACTCGGCCCCGTCCCCAGTTTTCTCATCACTGGCTTTGACTGACAGCACTGGAAGCCAATGGCTGCCAGTGCCCCAGAATAGCCAGAGAGACAAGGAAGTGAGCGGAGAGAAAAGCTACAGACATGCACAGTGCTGGATCGAATGAGGGCTCAGGCAAGTATAAGGAGGGGCGAGGGGCCAAAATCGACGTCTAAACATGAATTATGGTAAATAAATGTCTAGGCTTTAGAACCACTTTAATTGAAACTGTTATTAAACTCTGCTACATTTTCTCTAAATGGGTCTTGGTGGGGTCATGCCATATTGTGCTAGTAATTACTGCATATTTGCACATTATGTCAGGCTTACCTGACATATGGTGCCCTTCAGTGCTGTGGTGTCAGTGTTTCTGCTGGTCCCAGGCGCGTCCATCTTCACCTGGTCTTCCTTCTGAGTTCTGTCTGTTTGATAGCTTAAATGGCCGAACTGTGATGACTTCACTTTGTGCGCATGCGCACAGGAGATGCATCTCCATGGCATAGATGGAATGTCATGAATGTATGCTGAACTGCTCATGTGCAGCTCGGTGTACATGTCAGCTGACAGACAGAGGGAAGCCTTGTGACAGACAAGATGGATAAGGTCTCTTCTGTCATAAAAACCCTACCTGACAGCAAGTTTTATAAAACTAAGTTTATTATTACTTAAATGGAATTAAGAAGAGGGGGAGGTTTTGTGGTCCAAATCAGAGGAGCAGCCTAGGGTGACAACTCTGATTATCTGTAGATGTAAAGAACTGAGTGGTGGAAATATCAGCCTAAAATAACAGAAAAAAAAAATGTAAAAAAAGACTTTTAATGTAGCCACATCATCTAAAGACTGGTAGGCCACACAACATATTATTTTTTTATGGGTTTAGATACACTTTAATTCACTGTGGTGCCTTATCTCAACATGAAAAAAATACAAGAAGCTAAAGTTCTGTGAAAAAATGTGCAAAAGTCTTTGCAATTTACATAACTTGGGAAGGTTTTATTTTTTCTTAAGTCTCTCCTATACACCTATACAAGGTGTGATCAGGTAAATTTCATGTTCATGGTGCTGTAGTTACAGATCTGTCTCCTGTTTTTACTTACCACAGCTTGAAAAGTTTCTTGAGAATTCTCCAATCAGGGCCCTTAAACAGCTGGTACTCCTTCATCGGATGGATGGTCCTATGCCATCAGACACAGTAGAATGGCTCAAACTCAGGACTTGGATTTCAGCACATTTCCATATCCGTGCCCCAAAGCGGGTATTTGTTAAGAGGCCCCCACATAAAATGGTAAATGTAACAAACTTTTACTGGATGCTTAATGCAAAAGTAGGAAGATATATATATATATATATATATATATATATATATATATATATATATTTTATATCTTCCTACTATATATATATATATATATATATATTATATATACAGTGGGGATCGAAAGTTTGGGCACCCCAGCTAAAAATTTGTATTAATGTGCATAAAGAAGCCAAGGAAAGATGGAACAATCTCCAAAAGGCATCAAATTACAGATTAGACATTCTTATAATATGTCAACAAAAGTTAGATTTTATTTCCATCATTTACACTTTCAAAATAACAGAAAACGAAAAAATGGCGTCTGCAAAAGTTTGGGCACCCTGCAGAATTTATAGCATGCACTGCCCCCTTTGCCAAGCTGAGACCTGCCAGTGTCATGGATTGTTCTCAATCATCGTCTGGGAAGACCAGGTGATGTCAATCTCAAAGGTTTTAAATGCCCAGACTCATCTGACCTCGCCCCAACAATCAGCACCATGGGTTCTTCTAAGCAGTTGTCTAGAAAACTGAAACTGAAAATAGTTGACGCTCACAAAGCTGGAGAAGGCTATAAGAAGATAGCAAAGCGTTTTCAGATGTCAATATACTCTGTTCGGAATGTAATTAAGAAATGGCAGTCATCAGGAACAGTGGAAGTTAAAGCAAGATCTGGAAGACCAAGAAAAATATCAGACAGAACAGCTGGCAGGATTGTGAGAAAAACAATTCAAAACCCACGTTTGACTGCACGATCCCTCCAGAAAGATCTGGCAGACACTGGAGTTGTGGTACACTATTCCACTATAAAGAGATACTTGTGCAAATATGGTCTTTATGGAAGAGTCATCAGAAGAAAACCTCTTCTACGTCCTCACCACAAAAATCATCGTTTGAACTTTGCAAATGAACATATAGACAAGCCTGATGCATTTTGGAAACAAGTTCTGTGGACCGATGAGGTTAAAATTGAACTTTTTGGCCGGAATGAGCAAAGGCACATTTGGAGAAGAAGGGGCACAGAATTTAATGAAAAGAACCTCTGTCCAACTGTTAAGCATGGGGTTGGATCAATCATGCTTTGGGGTTGTGTTGCAGCCAGTGGCACAGGGAACATCTCACGAGTAGAAGGAAAAATGGATTCAATAAAATTTCAGCAAATTTGGGATGGTAACTTGATGCCATCTGTGAAAAAGCTGAAGTTAAAGAGAGGATGGCTTCTACAAATGGATAATGATCCTAAACACACCTCGAAATCCACTGGGGATTACATCAAGAGGCGTAAACTGAAGGTTTTGCCATGGCCTTCACAATCTCCTGACCTCAACATAATTGAAAATCTATGGATAGACCTTAAAAGAGCAGTGCGTGACAGTCAGCCCAGAAATCTCAAAGAACTGGAAGACTTTTGTAAGGAAGAATGGGCAAAGATACCTCAAACAAGAATTGAAAGACTCTTGGCTGGCTACAAAAAGCGTTTACAAGCTGTGATACTTGCCAAAGGGGGCAGTACAAGATATTAACTCTGCAGGGTGCCCAAACTTTTGCAGACGCCATTTTTTTGTTTTCTGTTATTTTGAAAGTGTAAATGATGGAAATAAAATATAACTTTTGTTGACATACTATAAGAATGTCTAATCTGTAATTTGATGCCTTTTGGAGATTGTTCCATCTTTCCTTGGCTTCTTTATGCACATTAATACAAAATTTTTAGCTGGGGTGCCCAAACTTTTGATCCCCACTGTATATATATATATATATATATATATATATATATATACAGTTTTATGAAGAATAAAGTACTTAAAAATTGTATTTATAAATTGTATAAATTTCTTTAAAATGTCTAGCCTTTTGCCCAAATTTCAGTAAAGCAAAAACTCTTAATTTTCCATACAAAGGGAAAAATTATACCTTGCACTCTTGATCCCATGATGTTTACCTCTGGTGTGCATGACTAGACCAAAGAATTTATATAATTCGTATTTCTTTAATTTTTCCTCCAATCAGCAACACAAATTGCAACCAGGGGGACACATTTGAAGGGACAGATGCATATTTGTAAATTAGTAAAATAATTAGGGCATACCTAATGTGTAAATCTAGAGCTTAATTTTCCTCTACTACAAATGACAGAAGTCTGAATGTAAGGCTGTGGTTATTTAGCTTTAAAAATGGTAGTTGGTACCATACAGTATGATAATTCATAGTAATATCATCTTGGCTCCCATGCCATGTCTTGCTGTGTTGTCTCTGCATTGTCCCTTTCTTTCTCTCTCCTTCTGTGTGTCTGCATCAGCTTGAGTTCTACTCTAGAATCCATCAAAAAGAAGTTGATCGGCACAGTGATTTTTCCAGGCTTGCTCGTGCTCTTACAGGGAATACTATTGCCTTGGTGTTAGGAGGTGGTGGAGCAAGGTGAGTGAGATGATACTATGGGTGTCTCAATTTTTTAGGTATAAGTTAACTATTTTGTCCAGATTTGTCCAAGTCTTCAAATTATGCCCTAATGTGAAGTTTCCAATTTTGTTTTTGTATTTATATAATATCCCTCTTATACATGCAGAGGATTTGCACATGTAGGAATCATTAAGGCTTTGGAAGAGGCAGATATTCCTGTGGACATGGTGGGAGGTACCTCCATGGGAGCTCTAGTTGGAGGAGTGTATGCTGAAGAACGTGACAGTAACCAAACTGAAGAACGGACATGTAAATGGTCAAAGGTAAGACCTGGTTTAAAAAAGCAGGCGTATTTGGCTTGCATATCCTTCTTCTGTAGGGATGAGATGAACGTACCTGGGTTCAGTTTGCAGGAAGTTCGTAAACAGCTCATAAGTTGGTAAGCTGAACTCCACTGGAGTCATTGGGAGCCGAATCTGCCAAAAGGCTAATATGCAAGGGACTGTCCAACAAATGGCATGGGGAGCTGGACGCTGCCAACAGAGACGTGCACCAATGCAACATTTTGTTTTTAAATACCATTTTGCAGGGAACAAGACTTTTAAAAAGACCTAAAGTGAAAATCAAACATTTCTATAAAAAAATATGCTTGCAAGATGCCTTAAACCACCTGTGAAATGGCACACCTGTACGATGTATACAGCAAAACTGACAGTTACTGACATTTGAATTGCTGGTAAATGACATTTCCTTGCCAGGTTTACAAAAAAAAACCACCAAAATACGTAATGGACCCGTATTTGGGGGCGCTACATGACGGTTTTTAAACTAATATTAAAAAATATCACAAAGCATCACAAAAATATCAGGAGCCCTAATTGGGAAGCTCTTGTCTATATTCCCATTGTACGATTTCCTGGAAGCAAGGCTGATCAATAGTGGGTGCTGCAGGCACTACCAGATAGATACTGGACTCATTGGCTCATATGTGTACTGAGCGGGAAGCTGTCAGATTTACCAGTGGTAGTTGTAGTGCTACTAAATGTATTCCTTCCTGATACAGCTGAAGGTTCACCACATTCGCCCTAAATGCCGAACAGGCAGTCCAAAATCACACCTCATCACTATTCCTGAGTTTTCTCATATGTTATCCTAATATGTACAATAATTTTTATCATTTGCATAATACTTGTAATGTGGTTGTAACCCCTTACATAAACCCAGTGAAGTGATTGGCCTCCGGTGATACACAGAGATGAAACAAATCCTCCTATATAAGTTGTACCTGTTTATCTGCAATATTCTCTCCTCTACAGCCATTCGAAGTGCACAGTTTATACAACTTTCAGAAAGCAGGGGGCAGAGAGCTGAAGTTCAGGAAAGGAACACAACTCCCTTCACACAGCACACAGGAACAGAGAAGAGGCCAATCACAGGCTGTGTGCTGGTGCTCCCTGTCCGTCACCTTTATTTTGTGTCAGGAAAACCTGTCAGGAGTGATTCATGCTGATAGCAGAGGAACAAGGCAGCATACAGTAATGACACTTAGTGCTCTGGATTGAAACAAATACATACTATTGAGGGGATATGCTTTGTTTATATTTCAAGTCAGAGGTTTACAACCACTTTAATGTCTTTGGCTCATTTAGTAATTGCCATGCGCACCACATGTAACCACAGTTCTTACTTGTCCCGAATATGATAGGACAATGTTGGCTTCCAAACACATGAAGGGGTAAGATTTAAAAAAATAGGGAGTTTGGAATTATGGGGTTGGATCAGCGGGAGGTTTGGGTGTTTCTTGGTGGGGGTTAAAATATGTCCTACAGTTTACTAGCTAGAGATATGGTGTAGTCATCTTCATTTTCCTTCACCATATGCTTTTTTTTTTCTTCAATGAAACTAGATGATGTCCTCCTTGGTAAAGACAATCACTGATCTTACTTACCCCACAACCTCACTGTTATCAGGCTCTGGATTCAACGCCACTTTAATTGACCTCTTTGGAGAGCGGCAAATCCAAGTAATGTAACTGCTTTTCCTGTCTCTCTTCTCTCTTTAAAGCGGAACTTAACTGTATCTGAGCAACACAAACTGAAACTGCTGTTTAATTAATTTTTAATATTCAAAGTGAATTCACTCATCTCTCCATGTCTTCATGCTTTATTTTACTGAGAAATTACTTTGAAAAACAACCCTCCTAGCATATCAGGCTGCAGCCATCTTGAGTAAGGGCAGATGATTCATCTAGGATTTACTTCCTGGAATCCATCTCCCCTTACCTCAAGCATGCAGAGGGTGTGCTTAGCTGAGAGCTCCTCCTCCAGATGAAAGAAAAAAATACTTAGAAAGACTCCTGGGATTGATGACATCATTCTGACCTAGACCAGAAACCAGGAAGCAAATGAAGAAATGTAAGAAAAAAAAAGCTTAAAACAAGTAACTATAATATCCACTTGCAGAACGCCTGTTTCAATGGACTGCGGATGGGTGGCCGGTACAGGCATAGGAATGTAGCTGTATGTTGCTGGCCTCTTCCTGGTACAGGTGTGCCCACCCTTCCCTGCAAACCCCAATGATTAATGGCTGGGACCTGCTGATCGACTGTGTCCAATCACAGCCCGGGGCCCTGTGTTGACAATCAACACAGGGATCTGTACAAAGGGAACAATCTCTTTGTTTCTTTTCCCTGTAAAACAGGGAGAAGAAACAAGGAGATATTTAGTAAAAAACAGCAAATATTTCACACACATTACACTTGTTAGGCACACACTTAACCATTGATTACCCCGAGATATTATCTGTGTCATTAGTGACAGTGACAGTGTATAGTATTGTGACTGATCACTTTATTAGTATCACTGATGATGTGAAATTAGTAATATAAAAAACACATTTCCAGTATGTATACCATAGTTTCTAGACGCTATAACTTTCACACAAACCAATCAATATACTATATATAATGTATAATATATTGGGATTTTTTTTTCTACCAAAGACATGTAGCAGAATACATTTTGTCCTATATTTATAAAAATATAGATTTTTTTAATTTTATATTGGATATGTTTTATAGCAGAAAGTTAAAAATAATGTTTTTTCTAAATCAAAATTTGCTGTCTTTTTTGTTTATATAATAGAAAATAAAACACCCAGTGGTAATCAAATACCAATAAAAGAAAGCTCTATTTGTGTGAAAAAAAATATTTAAATTTAGTTTGGGTACAGTGTTGCATGACTGCGCAATTACCAGTTAAAGCAGAGCAGTGTTAAATAGCAAAAAATTGACCTGGTCATGAAAGAGGTAAAATCTATATACTAATGATAGCAGCATAAGGATTAAAAACAGTAAATGTTGAGTGAGAGTGTTGAGTTCCACTTTGACTTGTATCTTTTACTTATACTGTCTGTGGCCCTTTTCTGTAGGATCTGTGGCTACCGTTTTTCTGTATCACAACAGATATCAGCTCCTCTTCAATGAGGGTCCATAGAGAAGGTGAGAGATAGTTCTGCATGGGTGGCTAACACAATAGAGCTCATAGATTAAAAAAAAAAGGAAAAGACTGTTGTACATAATCATCAATCATGGTTTGGTTTGCAATCTCTAACATCTATTAAATAAAAAAAGACATGGAATATGATTGCTGAATATATATATATCAGCTCCTATCTGCATCTCCATTATGATAATTTTGTTCCGACAGGCACCTTGTGGCGTTATGTTCGAGCCAGCACTTCGTACACGCCTTATCTGCCACCACTCTGTGATCCTCAGGATTCTCATCTCCTGTTAGATGGATGCTATGTGAATAACCTCCCAGGTCAGCCATGCATATTGGCTGCATCATCGAATGTTATTTCTGTTACCATCATCATTTTTAATACTTTTTCTCTGTTCTTTACTCACATTATCCCTTTCTTCATTTTCTTTACCCTCAGCGGATGTGGCTCATTCTCTGGGGGCCCGAACAGTTCTTGCAGTAGATGTTGGGAGGCAGGAAGAATGGGATACTTATAATTATGGAGACAGCTTGTCAGGCTGGTGGTTGTTGTGGAATCGCCTCAATCCCTGGGCAGCTAAAGTTAAGGTAATTAGCTTAAAAAAGTATAAAGATTTGCATATAAATGCAAGGGGAAGCACATATCTTATCATGTAAGGTAGTAACAATCCATTTTTTGTTCTAATGTAAGTGGCTCAGAAAGGTATCATACTGATACCAGGAATGTCCATCAGTACAATTGTGTTTATCACTAATGGTTCTTGTATGTGCTGATGATGTTCTGGTTCTCATGCGGACTTCCTTCATATTTCATGGACTTGTTCAGCTGTAGACTTATACTGGTCTCAGGTTCTACATTTTATAGCAGCTGTAACTACTGCTCAGATACCCCAGGAACTGGAAACATGCTTTGTTGGGACTTGTAGAACCTTTAGTGCATAGGAAGGTCACTAGAATACTCTTGACTACATTATTATATTATGCTAGAAAAGCAATTCTGATTTTTTGGAAATCCGCTGCCCCCCTGAACTTTGACAGGTGGAAAGTGATTTTTAACTCTGTCCTTCTGTAGTATAAGTCCTCCTACAACAGCCAAGGATGTCCAACCGAATTCAATAGTTTGGTCTCTGTCGTTGGAGAATTCTGACACACCAGTCCTATCCTGATGCTTCCATATTTCAATGGGAGTTAACCTGTCAATAGTGTCTTCGCTTCTCTCCCGATCCGGCCAATGGGCTCCCATTTTGTCGGTACAGCCTTAATATTGTCAGGCAAGCTTTTTTTTCATTACTCATCCTCTGCTGTTGTGTTGGTGACTCTGTGAGTTGGGTCTGGAAGGTGGTATTCCTGCCTCCATCAGCAACCACTTGTATGTTTCTTGGAAATGTATAATTGTACCTCTCTTACCAGCCATGTACTGCAATACTGTATTGTATGTGTGGAGCTTACTCTGTTCAATCAGTGTTTTGTCTTATATACGGTCCTATTGTTGTTGTACTGTATCTTGTACTACTACTAAAATTAATATAACAGAATTTATACAAAAAAATTGTTTGGTGGTTTGTTTGGCTTCCTTCTCATTAGCTTACCTTGGCTTTTCATGAGGCCTACCATACTCCTGACCAGTACAACAAAGAAACCAAAGTTAGCATAACCATAGAACCATGGTCCTGCTTTTCAAAAATGTATTGATTATCATCAATATAACAACATCCAAAAAAGAAAAAAACATAAGATGTTTATTGTATTTATGTCAGATTTCATTATATTTGATATGGTTTTATATTAATACACTTTCCTTTTTTGCTAAGAGATAAGAAAATAAGTAATGATAATGATCCTTAGGTTAAGAAGAGGACAGATAGAGGCATCATACAAAAAAGTCACAATACAGCTGAAATAACAATATTGATATTAGTTTATTAAGTATATCTGGACAAAGAGCAGTTGGATATGGAATGTGTAGCCAGCGAAATCCCGGATCGTGTTTACTGAAAACAATGAAGAGGAGGATATTGGTTGTTATAATTAACAAGACTTACCTATCTATGCTTTACATGATGTATCAACATTTACTGGATAATTACTTGTATCCTTTAGTTTAGGGGTGTCCAACCTTTTGACTTTCCTGGGCTACACTGCGAGAAGAGGAATTGTCTTGAGCCGCACATAATATACATTAACAATAAGGATAGCTGATGAGCAGAAAAAGTCAGGCAGATCACAAGTTAAGGATCACTGATACGATAATATACCTGAGTAATAAAACTTTTTTTTTTTTGTAATATTTTTTATTATAAAAGTAAGAGAGTACAACATAAAACTAGTGCAATATTTGACATTGTTTTTGATAAATTAACACTTCAGTATCTGCTTAAATGGATGTAGTAGCAATTCTCAATGAATTCTCAAGGTGTTCATCAGATACTTTGGTTCTAGTTTTGCCCTTTGTGTGCTTCCTCCGTGAAAATGTTTGCGCACAAATTTAGGTGCTGCCAAAAACTGATGACATGACTAAATGGTGATTGTGAAGAGTGGGATATTTTTCTTTGGGAAGATAAAACCTATAAACATCCAGTAAAGAGACACTGTCAGATTTTTCTTTGGCCATATGTGTTCTCAAAGGGTGAACGCATTTTTACAAAAAACAAACAAATATCTAGAAGAAACGAGCGCTAGATCTGTGTAGTGGAGCAGCTAGCAAGAAAAGGTAAAACCTCAGAAAACCTCTTAGAATAACATATATGTCTTCATTTTTATTTGCTTTATATCATTGATAGGAGCACTGCATGTTTGCTTTATACGTATTTTTACAAAAGTTTCCCAAAAAAGCAGCATTTTTAAGTAAGTTTATGATGTGTTGGGCTACATTCTTAGCCACATGTGGCCCATGGGCCACAGGTTAAACATCCCTGCTTTAGTCGGATGTCCTTTGTGTTGTGTTATGATTTATCACTGCTGTTTACTTCCAGGTTCCTGACATGGCAGAGTTGCAGTCACGTTTGTCATATGTCTCCTGTGTCCATCAGCTGCAGAGAGTGAAGCACAGTGGATACTGCGAGTATCTGTGTCCCCCAGTGCAGCGATTCAGCACCACTGAATTTCGACGCTTTCAGGAAGTATTTGTAAGTTTAAAGTGCTTGAAAGGGAACTGTCATTAGAAAAACCTGGAGGATACCACTGCTGCTGTCAACTTCTGAACATGCTTATTGAGGGTTACTATAACAAACAGGCAAATAGCCTTTTTAGAAAGAGGTCAGCAATGACAGCTGGGAATCTACATCTCTTATGCCAGGTTTACGGAAAGCATCCCAAACTTGGAAAAAGTTTTATTACTGCCTGCATCATTTTTATTACTGTATGTGACTCCATTGGAGAGATCTATACTCTCTGTGACCACTGACATTTCCACAGGAAGTAAAGGGAATCCTCAACATCAGGGATAGAGCAGTAAAAACCATACAAATTTTCTAACCCTACATGACTCTAACGAAAAGTGTGTTTTTGTTGCTGACCTCCTACCTATTGGTGAGATTTCCAATCACAGGGACAGAAACCGAAATATCTTCAGCGACAATGCAGCAACAAAAACAGAGGGTCTAACCCTCCCCAGGTTTACCTAAAACAAATGTTTTTCAGGACATCTTCTTTAAGCCAGAGCACTACCTTCTGGTAGACATAATGAAGAGTAAGAGGGGGCAGAAGAGGTTTGGACCATATGCTGGTTTATCACTTATAATAGTGAGACTGCTCCAAAGTACCATGTTATGTATTACACGCCAAATATGGGTGTAGCATGTAATGTGTTACAATCGATGAACTTATCTCTTAATTGTCTGAGGTCATTCGCTTCTTTTTAGTTGTGTGAGTGATGGGTCTGTTTTTCACATTGTTTTCTATCATTTTGGTGCAGGATGTGGGTTATGAGTATGGGAAACTAATATTCACAGAATGGCATCGCGGTGACCTCATTGAGAAAATGTTGCAGGATAATAGTAGCCCTGAGATCGACCAACCACATCAAAGAGGAGTAAGTATGGCATTATAAGCAACATCTAATTGGCCCATTTGGGCTTCTTAATAAAAAAAAATCTGCACACAGTAACCATATTCTCCATTTTTTTCTAACATACACTGGATGAATGATATGGATATAAGGACCTGGACTGGTAACTTTAGTTATTATGTCTGAGAAGGTCTGTGGGGTGGCTTAAGTTACTGTAGGCACCCTACCTGCTGTGAATTCACTTTTCAGTATTGAAGTGGTAAAAAAAATTATGCAAAATCTAAAAAATCTATAATATCTATGATAGGCAAGGTTTTTCATAACAGAAGTGACCCAAGTCATCTCTTCTGTCATAAATGTCTCCTTGGCCTGTCAGTGGATAATGTAATCTTGGCCACACATGCGCAGCTCAGATAACATTTATGGCCCGCTCTGAGTGCCATGGCAATGTGACTCCAGTGCGCATGCGTGAGAGTGATGTCGCCACGACCTGGCCATTCAAGTGGCCAAAGATGCAAAACCCGGAAGGGGTGAAAATGGAAGCATCAGTTGAGCCGTGACAGCACTGTGCTGGAGGGCTCTGTTTCCAGGTAAGTCTGTCAGAATGTGCTGTATGCAGTGCATACTATTATGACTTAAACCTGCAGGGCAACCAGCTTTTTTATTTTTCAGCTATGACTTAACTACTGCTTTAACTAGCAAAACTGTGCATTTTCATAAAATGGGGTGGAAGTAAAAAAAATCTAAAATAAAGTTTTACTATTAATATGACAATACTGGATGCTTCGTAGTGTTTAGTATGTAACTTACAGCACAGCATACATAGTGAACTAGTCCACAGTATGTAATATATACATAAGGCCCTTCCTGTGCTAATAAAGTCATCCATAGTATGTAATGTACAGCACACCATACAGACCGAAGTGGTCCTGCGTTTAGAACAAACAGTTCAGCATACAAAGCGAAGCGGTTCAGAATATGTAGTGTACATCACAGCATACACAGTGGAGGGTATGCTGAATGATACAATCTACTTTGCCGTTATTACATTGTATGAAGGCATATCTGACTGAATAGAAATAAAATAAATGGGGGTTTAAGAAGGCCCTCACACTTTATAGCTGTTGGCAAAATTAAACGAGATAAAGAGAAATTATTCAAAGGGTAATGTGGTAATCTAGTAATGTAAGGCGGTTTATTTTTAAACAGAAAGCATTATACAGATATGTGGCAGTTCACAAATTAGAGAATAAAATGGCAAGTGTACATTGCTATCCATAGGTAGGTGAGGCTCATACGTATCCACGCAGTCTAAGCAGGACCCTTCTTGCCAGTGAGCAGCACATAGTACACTTGGCTGCTCTGATGAGGACCAGAAATGGATGGGACCATGCTTTCCATTTTTCCTAAAGCTCCACCCTTTTGCAGAGTACAGGTATAGAAGAACATTTTTCCTAAAGCTCCACCCTTTTGCAGAGTACAGGTATAGAAGAACATTTCGGCCAAGTATAGGAACAGCCATGCTTGTCAGTAGATTGCACGATTATTAGTTGTGATTTCACAATCATTATACTTTCACTCTGCTCTTTATGCAGGCTGGAGGGTCACCAGGCTTCACAGACCTGGCAGAAATTGTGGCTCGCATTGAACCTGCTGGCAGCCAAAGTACTTTTCCAAGTAAAAAAACTGGTGAGTGGAAATGGACATAACTTCTTTTACATAGCATACAAATTAACTCAGTTCTCTATACGTTAAATTCTTTAGGAAAAGATTTTCAAACATGAAGTCTGTTTTTCTAACATATTTTACAAATGCTAGCTGCCTGGCAGTCATACTGATCCTTTTGCTTCACAAAACCAGAGCAAGTTTGCAGATAAGGACTTTTGATCTGCATTTTTGTTTCAGGCCAATGGCTGAGAAAGTAATGCAGCTAGAGCATCAGCATAACATTCACTTAACTAACATTTCTGGAAATAGGTCAGAATAGGCAGGACCCTTATTACTCTTAAGGCTGAAGTTTAGTTTTGGGTTATATTTTCAGTAACATTACTTACCTCTAATGAACTGTATTCTATATCCTGCTGATTGCTCCTTAGTGTAGAAATGTTCCCTACAGTGATGATAGGTCCTTTTCTGGCACTGTAGGAGTTAACGTCCTTGGTTCTAATATTGCAATACATTGAAGAAGTTTCAATGGCCGTCCACTTCTTTCTGCCCTCTCCTCCATTAAAAAAGTCCTTGCAATGCATTCAGTGAAACAGGGAAGAGGCAGATGAATAACAAGATCCTCTCCACCATTCATATGGCCATAACTGGCTGAGGTCCTAGAGTGAAACCATTAGTGTTCCCTCAACTTTTCTGTTCTTAAAGGAAAATCTGGCAAATGCTACTGCTACCTCCATGAATCACTATACCAGACAACCTTAGACCCCTCTGTTGGTGTTCTATACTTATAGTTACACCCTTGTTACTTTGTGATTCCAGAGGAGTACTTTGCAAACGGAGACAAGCCTGATGCTGAATACCGTAATGAAGCATGTGAGACAGTAAGTAAATATTCTTCTATCCAACACAGGACTAATGAGATAATTTACTAACATAATAAAGAAGAACATAAAGAAAAGCATTCCAACCAATCGGATATCTTGCATACGATTAGGTATTGTAAGGGAGGCCACATATGAGAGTTAGAGGCCATAGATGGCCTGAGAGCCAAAAAAGATATGTAGATAGTGATAGATAGAGGCCATAGATGGGCTGAAAGCCATAGATAGATATGTAGATAGTGATAGAGGCCATAGAAGGTCTGAGAGGCATGAACCACAGCCAGGAGATACCAAATAAACAATATAGTGTAGCGCAACCACATAAAACAGTCATGTGAATAAATAATAAATAGTGATAAACAAATGTCCCGAAAAATTATGTGAAAAGCTCTTCTACATCTTTGTGTACGCACACCATTGGCGCTTCAACCACCACCACACAAATTGGCCGTTCACCTCAATGTAATGACTACTGTAAGGTAGTTACGGTAAGTCATAAGCGCTTTCCCTTTAAGGGCGCGACTGTTGATCCTATAAATATTTTCATCCACTCATAGCTTCTCCTATAGTGTCTTGTGAAATACAAATGCAAAAAGACAGACAGCCCATAGTGTATCGTGCAAATACATTTCTTTACTGCTGAAAATGGTTAAAACTTATAGGATATGGCACTCCAAAAGTGCATGATAAAAACATATACAGGTACACCGCAGCTCTCCAAGATGGCCATAGAATGATGTCATGTGGGTTGCTCCTCCCCCCATGTGTGTTGCGTCCTGGGCAGGACTTTCTCAATAGGTGTGGAGTTGACGACATGCCCGCAATTTAAACTCTCCCTACCGGAAATAGATGGACAATTTATTTATTCACATGTTTATTCACATGATCGTTTTATGTAGTTGCGCTACACTATTTTGTTTATTTGGTATTTATTTAGGTGTTGTGAAAAACATTTAGTGTTTAGCAGAGCATCCTTTAGATCAATATATTTTTTTTGGCACGTATTAATAATTTTAGCATCATATATTATTCACTATTTGTGATTGCGCAGATTACTATACATGGATAGATTGCCTGGAGATATCTGCACATTCTAAAAGTGATACATCAGAGCTCTAGAACACACTTAGTTATATGGAGCACAAAGCTATCCTGTGCTCCTTCACTCTAATCTGGACCCCCTTGTAGGGATTTTTCCAGCAAGTTGGAAATGAGTACATCTATCCAATGAAGATGACCATTGTCTTCTGTTAACAGGTTAGAAACAGCCCAATTATCTCATGCTTTGTTTAACATCAGAAATATTTTTGGTTGAGCCATTTATGACTACCTTAATGCCAACTGCTCCTTGGGCGTCCTAATCTTCACCTTGTCTCTACCAGTGTTTAGTGATTACCTTGTACATAGCCTAACGCAGCTCTAGAAGATCACACTCCACAGCAGGGCAGGTGATCAGTATTGGCTCTTATGCAGTCACCTCTTTACATGTATGTTGCATGTACTGTAAACCAAGTTATTGACATATGCAAAGCCCAGTCAGAAGCTGTATGGTTGTGTATAGTACTGAATGCACATGTGCTGAGCAATAGATCATTTACTTGATGTGTGAAGTCTGTTCTCTAGTGTGTGGGGTGGATTTTATCAATGTACAGTCTAAAGTTGGGGGGTACCAATGATTACCAGAAGCAAGTGTCCATCTGGTAGCATGCCGTCTTTAATAGCATGGAATATCGGGTGGTATAGTTCAATGCCAGAACCTCTGCTGGCCACTGAGATTCTTTTCCTTGACTGTTGAGTAACAGCACAGGAAGGGTCTTATGTGAAATTTGGAAGTCTAATCTAGGCCTGTACACAGCCTGGGGTTTGAATCCAGGGGCTCCATGGGATAGAACTGAAAGTTCTCACAAGTACTTACTAGCAACACAGTAGACTTTCTATCTCAGATTTTAGGACTTGACAGGTTGGCGTTAAGGCCGTGGTGGGGGGTTTTCCCCCCTTTTCTGTACTTATATATGTTACTTTAATTTTGTCTTGCTCTTTTTCATTGTTTAGGATGAAGAGAAGACATTACGAATAAAACAATGGTTAACCTCCAGCAATCCTTATTGACTCATATCTGTGAGCAATTATTGATAATACAGTTTTGATATGTATAGTAATATTTTTCTATTGTTAAATACAGCAATATTGTACAGAACTTGGAAAGAGGTTATAGAAGGACTGCTGGAACCGCACAAAAACTTTAATTCAAATATATTCCTCAATAGGAACAAAGGATATAAAACAACTTTGTGTGCACCAAATGCCCTTGAAAAAGCAGTTATTACCTTGTAAAAGTAGTGGTGACATCATCACCTGTGCAGAGAGAAAAGTTGTGGGAGGGACCTAACGTATCCTCCCACTATGGGTTGCCTGTAGAAAACTACAGGAGGGGGGGTGTATACAAGACCAGTCATCCTGCATTGGAAGAAATGGCAGCAGTAACTGGACTTATTGCAGGAAGCAAAGTTTCACATTGGATTACTCGACTGATCTGGAAGAAATGCACAAAGAACATTTAGATGCAAGTAAGAATACAACTGTCTCTTGTATGTAGATATTTGCATATCCCTTAGTTCAGCTTCAAGTTACCTGGAATCCATATATTAAAGCAGGTCTGTTCTTATTATATAAACAGCTGAATTAACAGGCTTGCTGAAATGGATAACAAATAGTAAAAGAAGGGATGAAATTCTTACCTTGCTGGAGAAAATGCTGCTGAAGGCTTCCTTCACTGCTATCCATGGTTGAAGACTCTGGCACTTGGCAATCAGGCACTTGGTCATATCTGGTCAATTTGTTGCAAAGGTAGATGAGCAAATTTAAATTCTGATCCTCCCCTTCATCACAGGAGAGATCACATGACCAAGGCCTAGGTCTTCATATATGTTGTTAGCACTAAAAAGGCAAGGTAAGAAGAATTACTGTATATGTATTTGAAATGTAAAGCATCCAGGGTCCCCAGCAAGATATCCCTCTCCCTGTTTTGAGTTTGCCTCCACAGCACAGAATTTTCTTTATGATCACAGTAGATGTGTTATCGATGTAGGTTCTATATTGTATATTTTGAGGACTTAAGAAACTCTTTATGTAACATGAATTTATTTATATGATTGCAACATATGTACTGACTATTGTTCAGTGTTACAAGCCAATATTGGTTGGATTTCTAAGCTCCTGAAGAAGCAGGTTTATTTCCTGCAAAACATGTGGAGTGAATCATGAGCAATCCATACAAACGCAAGCAAATCCAAATGCTATTCGTACATTGATGTATAGACTTTCAGCATTGTTTTGGCATATTCAAACTGTCATTTTTGTTTTGTATGTGAAATATTTACATGTATCTGCATGTTGTCTCATTTATATTATTTAAGGCAGAATAAAAAATAAGATTTACGTGGTTGTGCAAGTACAATATGTTTCAGTTTGGTAGCTTTAAAGTCCCAGGTTGGGGATATGGGTTTTTGGTATCCAGTCATGGGGATATAAGTACCTGGGAGTCCAATTAACCTTCTCCCCAGTAAAAGTAAGCAGTGCTACCCCCACAGGAGCCGCTTGGTAATTGACACACCTGGTTGAATGAAAATTACTGCAAGCACTTATAAGAACTTTAGTATAGATACCTTTAAAATGGTTGTAAAGGCTCAAGGTTTTTTACTTTCATGCATTCTATGCATGAAGGTAAAAAACCTTCTGTGTGCACCAGTGCCCTTGGCCCCCTCAATACTTAACTGAGCCCCATCACGATCCAGCGACGTTCATAACAGCCTCGGCTGTCCTGGGTCTCTGCCTTCTTGTTGGCTGAGACAGCAAGTGGGAGCCATTGGCTCCTGCTGCTGTAATCATAGCCAGCCGGGCCAATGAGGGGAGGGCAAGCCACAGCTCCGTGTGTGAATGGACACATGGAGCAGTGGGAGCCTCCATAGTGAGCTGCTTGCTGTGGGGCCACCCGACAGAAAGGAAGAGCCAGGAGAGCCTGTGGGAGACCTCAGCAGAGGAGGATCCAGGCTGCTCTGTGCAGAACCACTGCACACAGTAGGTAAGTATAGCATGTTTGTTATCCCCCCTCCAAAAAAATGAACCTTTAGAATCGCTGTAACTCAGCTATGTATTAGTACCTGGAAATAGACAAAAGACCAATTAGTGATAAATGAACTCAATGTATTGGTACAGAATAGAATAACTGGAGGTTTCAGCATAAATAAACACACGCATGTAGGTTCAGACACAGTAAAATCACTATTCTAAGGTAACTTAGAATAGAGGTTCTTATCACTAAACTGGGATTTACTCATACATCAGCAATAAACAGTGCATATAAGCAATACTTGCAATGTGAATAATAATACTATAAATAGTCTAGACCAGGGGTGGGCAAACTGCAGCTCTCCAGCTGTTGCAGGACTACAAGTTCTATCATGCCTCTGCAAGTCATAGCTGTAACTGTCAGTTTTGTAATGTTGCAATGGCTCATGGGAAATATAGTTCCACAACAGCTGGAGAGCCTCAGTTTGCGCACCCCTGGTCTAGAGTGTACTCTAGGAGAATGACTAGGATATGGTACAATGTCCCCTGAGTGGTACCTCTTAGCATAAGCAATAGGTGAAGATCTGTGTGTAGCAGCTATAAAGGGACAGTCTTTAGACCTACCTCTTCAGCTGGCTAGCAATGGGGCCCAATTGTACTGTTCGCACACATCAGAATAGTCCCAGTCAAGTCCCAGTAAGGCTGCTTAGATGGCTGAATGGTCAGTTCCTAAAGGACTCAATTTCTCTAACAGCAGAGAGTAAATCCCCACAGCAGCAACTCCCCAATCCCAGTGATATTGCAGTTTACCATCTGGTCACAGCGATTAGTGCACTCTCTGCTCTGCACCCAGGTCACTCTGGCTCTCAGCTCCTCTAAACTCAGCACTATGGATCCTGCTCAGGCTGTCGATATGCAGCAGTGGTGGTGCACACTGGACAACATTGTGCACTCTCCGGTCTTCCTCACTGCAAGAGGAAGCTGTGTCCTGTACAGCCTGAGAAAATGCAGCTCTTTCCTCCTCCTCCTGGCAATCACTCTCTGGAAAATTCAGTTAAAAAACACTTGATTACAGTAGAGTCTGTCTTCTCTGGACTACAGTTCCCACAGTGCAGTGCTGCCTGATTCAGCCTACTGAACTCTTCCTTCTCAGCAGCCCCCTCCTCTTGCTGATATAGCTGTTTAACAGTTCAGCACCGCAGGGCAGCAGCTACAGGGAGAAGCTACAGCCAGTATTTCTCTCTCTCTCCATTCCTAGCCAAGCACCTTGCTGACAAGTACCTTGTAATCCATGGTAGAGCTCCAAGCATTTTTGCAATAGAATGTACTTTTTACAAATATTGCATCCTCTGCAGGTCTTGGCATGTCCCAGATCCTCTTTTGTACCCTTTCACCTCCGCCACTATCTGCCAGATTGAGGAAATTAACTGAAAAAGGGGAAATTGAATGCTGTCCAAGAACTGATGCAGCACAATTGTATTTTTTAAAATGTTTAATGTGGCCACTGCTCTGTCATGTTCATAACTGGGAACCAGAAACTCACAGATTTTTTGGTTGGATGTAGAAACAGAATAGTAATTCAACAATTTGTCTATTAATTCATATTTTCTCTGGCCTTGTTCATTGATCTTGATCTTCAGATACACCCAATAGGTATAATTTCCTCACCTTACAGAAAGAAGCACAGCTGTGTCATTGATGAATCTCTAATCTAAAAAAATAGATTCTAATCAGAACAGAGTGCAGGATGCTTGATTGGAGATTCTTTTAAAATTCTGTTCTAGTTGCTCATAGTAGCATTTTGTTGGATTAAAATCTTCCTTACCATTTTTAAAGGCCAAAGTCTAGGCAAACAACTTAATACACAGCTAAAATATACACATACGTGAACTGTAAACCCTGTGTTCTCTTCTAGTGTATTCATGTGGCTCCAGTGATCCTCAGTGTTTTCTAGTGTGTCCCCCATGTGTCCAAGCCTGTTTTCAGCCTTGTGTTCCCAGTGTGTCCTAGCCTGTTTCCAGCTTTTTTTCCCAGTGTCAAAGCCTTGCACAGTTGAGTCTGAGGACTGCAACCTGTACACTGCTGCAATGTAACGTCTCCGTCTCTAGAAGCTCTGGTAAAGACCAAATGGTACCTTGAATTCTGTGGTTCTGCCCTTTTTAGAGCTCTCACTATTACTAAGCAAGCAGGCAAGCCAAACATTGTGTGTCAACTCTGTGGCTTTTGCCACCATCCATTTTTCAGGGGTGTAGCACTGCCACCCAAAAGAAGGAACACTCGCGGCATGGGGAGCAGGTGGGATCCAAGAGAGGCTGCGGGCTGCTTGACGATGTATGCAGAGCCTGATTCTCGTACCCAGGGATGTCCGTACCTGTGAAGGTGAATGTCTTTCTCTCTAGAGCCGGGGGGAGGGGGGGAAGGTGTTAGTGGAAGCCTTCTTGGGGGGGCAGAGGTGTTGTTGGTCAATGTCAGGCTCTCTCTGCAGGAAAGAGGGGGGGAGACTTTTGTGTTGCCTAGGGCAGCGCAAAACCTTAATATGCCACTGCATCCACCCCACTGCCTCAACATGTCCTGGTTTGCCATTACACCCTTAGTGGGTGCAGATTCCCAAGTTGGGACAGGCAGAAGAACAGGTTCAGGATAGTTGAAAGAAGATTCTCTTAAAAGATCAATTTTACCCTTAAAAACCACCAAACATCTTCTTAATTTTGCCTTACCCTTTGATGCCAATGCATTTTAATAAAATTTCGAAATTTCACAGAAATCTTACAAATATCACAGAAATTTCAAGGATGAACCTTTTATCCTAATTTACCTTGTAAGTCACTGTGGGAGATATGGTCCTATATAAACCAGGTATAATGATAAGTATAATATCTATAATAAGTAATATATTTCCTATAGAACAGAGGGCATCTTTGTGTCTGCCTCAGTTTCCTGAGTGACAGTGTTCCTTCCTTTCCCTATCTCTTCCTTTTGGCCTCACCAATGACATAAATGTGACCAACAACTGGAATATCATAGGCTGCAGGCATTACACA